CCAATCAACATTCCCTCAAAATCCCACAGAAGTGTCTGTGGGAGCAAGAAACAATAGAACCCTAATTACAGAGAAGCAGTAAGTTCAGACCAAAGAATGCATTTCTTGAACAAGTGAAAATTTACACAGGAACATAACTAGAAAGAAATACCTTTGATGGGGAAGAGAGATTACATCACCACCTGAGCTTCTCCAGAGTCCTCCTGGCAGTGGGAAGGGTGCAGATAGTATATTGAAAAGAATCACCCCCAGACTGCCACGGGCACCATGGGGAAACAAAGCAAAGTGAAAAAGATTTCAGGAGGAAATGTTTGAGAATGTTTAATGAGCTCAAAAATAAATAAATAAACCATGGAACGGATAGCCAATGAAACACAAAATGATATGAGAGCATAAATGAGAAAACTATAAGCATAAAAGTCAGAATTTTAAAAAATTGGTAGGTGAAATGAAAAGCTCCAGGAAGTGATATGAAAAAAACAATCTCGTTCACATTCATACCTCAGAAAATCAAGTACCTCGGAATCAGCTTACCTAAGGAGGTACAAAGAAGACTACAAAATTCTACTTCAAGGAATAAAAGAGAACATGAGGAAATGAAAATACATCCCCTGCTTGGGAGAACTAACATTGTCAAAATGGCAATACTCCCCAAAACATTATACAGATTCAATGCAATTCCTATAAGGGTCCCCACGGCATTGTTCAAAGAAATTGAACATCCTGAAATTTATATGGAACAGCAAGACCCCATAAATAGCTATAGTAATTCTTGGGTGGGGGGGAGATGGGCGGCATCACCTTCCCCAACCTCAAACTATACTACAAAGCGGTAATAATTAAAACAGCCTGGAATTGGACCAAAAACAGAACCATAGACCAATAGAATAGGGTTGAATATCCTTACACACACCCTCAAAAATATAATCATCTAATCTTTGATAAGGGAGAAAAATATAAATTGGAGCAAGGAAAGCCTCTTTAACAAATGGTGCTGGCAAAACTGGACAGCTACATACCAAAAAATGGTCTCAGACCTCCACCTAACACCATGCACAAATGTGAGATCAAAATGGATTAAAAACCTCAACATCAGACCAGAATCCATAAGGTACATTGAATAAAAAGCCCATCTTTTATGGGCTTACAGGAGAGGGCTGGAGCGATAGCACAGCAGGTGGTGTGTATTCCTTGCAAGCAGCTGACCAAGGTTCAATCCCCGGCATCCCACAGGGTCCCCCAAGCAACACCAGGAGTAATCCTGAGTGCAGAGACAGGAGTGACCCTGAGCATTGACAGTTGAAGCCCAAAGCCAAAACCCTTGCAGCAAAACCCTTCACGACATTGAAGCTAAAGGTATCTTCAAAGATAAAATGCCACTGACAAAGCAAGTGGAAACAGAAATAAACAAATGGGACTATCTTAAACTAGGAAGCTTCTGCATCTCAAAAGAAACAGCAACCAAAATACAAAGACAATCTACAGAATGGGAAAGGATATTCACCCAATATCCTTCTGATGCTGGCTGGAGCGATAGCACAGCGGGTAGGGCGTTCGCCTTACAAGCGGCCAACATGGCCGACCCGAGTTCGATTCCTCCGCCCCTCTCGGAGAGCCCGGCAAGCTACCGAGAGTATTCGATATGCCAGACACAGTAACAACAAAGTCTCCAATGGAGACGTTACTGGGCCCGCTCGAGCAAATCGACGATCAACGGGAGGGCCTTTACCTTTGCCTTTATCCTTCTGATGAGAGATTAATATCAAGGATCCACAGGGCACTGGTTGAACTCTACAAGAAGAAAACATCCAACCTCATCAGAAAATGAGGAGATGAAATGAACTGGAACTTTCTCAAAAAAGAAATCCGAATGGCCAAAAGGCACATGAAAAAATGCTCTTCATCACTAATCATCAGGGAGATGTAGATCAAAACAACTATGAGATATCATCTCACACCACAGAAACTGGCACACATCCAAAAGAACAAAAGCAACTGTTGTTGTTGGCATGGATATGGGGAGAAGGGGACTCTCCTTCACTGCTGGTGGGAATGCCAATTGGTCCAGCCTTTTTGGAAAACAATATGGACGTTTCTCAAAAAACTAGAAATTGAGCTCCCATTTGGCCCAGTAACACCACTTCTGGGCATATATCCCAGAGATGCAAGAAAGTATAGGAGAAATGACATCTGCACTTGTATTTTTATTGCAGCACTATTTCCAATAGCCACAATCTGGAAAAAAAAGAACAAGTCCCTGAGAACAGATGACTGGTTAAAGAAACTTTGGTATATGTACACAATGGAATACTATTGTGAAAATATGAACTCATGAAAATTGCATATAAGTAGATGGACATGGAGAGTATCATGCTAAGTGAAATGAGTCAGAAAGAGAGGGACAGACATAGAATGACTGCACTCATTTGTGGAATATAAAGTAACAGAATGGGAGACTAACACCCAAGGATAGTAGAGATAAGGGCCAGGAGAACTGCTCCACAGCTTGGAAGCTGGCCTCACATGCTGGAAGAAAAGGCAGCTGGGATAGAGAAGGGACCACTAAGTAAATGATGGTTGGAGGGCTCACTCGGGATGGGAGATGCATTCTGAAAATAGACTTGGACCAAACAAAATGGCCGCTTAGTACCTGTATTGCTAACCATATCACCCAAGACAGAAAGGGGGAATGTGCCTGCCACAGAGGCAGGGGGTGGGAAGTGGGAGGCAGGGGGTGGGAGGGACACTGGGAACATTGCTGGTGGAGGGATGGGTGCTCAATCATTGTATGACTGAAACGTAATCACAAAAGTTTGTAAGTCTGTAAAAAATTTGTTTTAATTTAAAAAAATGAAAACTCAATGGAAGGCCTCAACAGTACAGTAACAGCAGCTGAGGACAAAATCAATGTCCTCCCAGATAAAATGCATAAAATATCCAAGGAACAGCAGAAGACAGAAAAACAAAAAAAGCCTCAAAATGAATTAACAGCAGACAAGAGAACTTTGGGATAAATTCAACAGGAACAACATAAGAATCATCAGAGCCCCAGAGGGTCAGAAAGGCAACCCCAATATGGAAGTAACAGCTAAAAACATCATTGCTGAAAAGTTCTCAGAGTTGTAGAACGCAGGCATCCAGGCCCGGGAAGCATGAATGGTATCAGCTAAAAGAGACCCTAATAAAAAGACTCCAAGACATATCCTAATAAGAATGATGAGAATCATTTGTGGAGATACAATATAGAGCGATACAATACCAAAAGCAACAAGGCAAAAGAAAAATAACATAAAAAAGAACATCTCTAAGGCTTACAGGAGGGGGCTGGAGCGATAGCACAGCAGGTGGTACATATTCCTTGCAAGCAGCTGACCAACGTTCTGGGCATCTGAGAGCTGGGGCAAGGAGTCACACTTTACAAAGAATCAGCCCATCAGAACTGGAGGTTCCAAAGAGAGTTCTGGAAGGACAAAGGTAAGGGCAACAGCAGGAACTTGCTGGTCTCAGTGGCTATCAGGGGAGCCCAGGTTAGCTGCAGCATGTCCTACCCTGCTGCTATGTCCAGGAGACAGGCAGCAGGGGGCGGGGCAGGGCTTGTCCCCCACTGCCTGATGGCCAATGTTCCAGGTTCCCAGCCGACCTGCTCCCGTGCACTAATGGAGGAGGAAGGCATCTGGTAGGGCCTGTGTGGCCATGAGATAGGACAAGCACAGTCTTGCCTCCCCTGGAAGGCCATCAGGTCACCTCCTGCTGGCCCTTGGCTGTGGGCGCAGTATCTGAACCCCATGGACGACTCCTGCACCTCTTCGTCCAGACTGGAGAAATGATCACGACTATCACAAACATTCACTTAGTTCTGAAACGAGGGAAAGACCGCTTTTTTTTCCCGACTAGACTTGGTTCCTTTTCATGACAGAGTTAAACTGTATTCTCCAAGAAATTAGGCCCAATGAGAGCAGGAGGAGTTCGTTTCACCCTCTGTATTGAGGTAAACAATGATCTAAGTTTGACAACCAATGACTTGGTGAACACTGAAGATGCAGAAGTTTCTAGAAAGTAACAATATTGTGTAACAATACTGTCAGTATGCTTCTCTCTGTAGAATAGGTCCTAGAGTTGATTCTTCTGACCCTCCTACAGTCAATTTTAGTTTAAAAATGCCACTTGGCCCCATGCCTAACTCTGCTAGGTCAAGCCCAAACAGCCTCAAGGAAGAGAAGCTCCCTTGGCCAGGCACACTGAGGCCATGGTGCTCTCAGGTCCAACACCCATCCAAAACTCAGAAGAATATGCCAAGAGGGAAGGGAATCAGCTGTGGAGAGATGAAGCCACCTGCAGTGCCAGACTGAGCAGTGACAAGGGTGGACAGTCAACTTCGACCAAAAGTCAGTGAGGTGAAACTTTCTACATCTAGAATGAATAGGACAACTCCAAGTTCTGTGTATTTGGGGTCACAGAGACAGTACAGGAGTTAAGGCGCTTGCCCTGCAGAGCCAGCCCTGACTCAACACCCACCAGTAGGTCCTGGACACTGCTAGGGTGTCCCACACAGATGCCCTCCCTCTCACAGGACAAGACTATTCCTTTCCCATATGGCTGATTCACAGCTGCTGCGATTTCTCCCCTGCGTTCCTCTCATCACCCGGTTCCTTCAAGGTCTGTGGTCTCCTTCCCCACCCAGACTCTCTCAGGGTTGGAGATTCCTTCCTGCTTGCTGGGGTCCCTCGCTCTCCAGCTTCCTCTCCTCAGTCTTCACCACGGGCCTCCATCACTACTTGAGACCAGTCATGACACATGCTGCCCCACTTTCTCCACTGTGGGCACCGGCCCGAAGCGACAGACTGAACTGAACTGGCAAACCAAGATCACTCCTCACCGAGGTCTGTTCCTGCCTGTGATCTTAAACGTCACAAATGTCAGCAGCAGTAAGTCCAGCAGCCACACGGTACACAGGGCATGGCCAAGGCCACGTGTTATACAGGGGAGCCCCTGGGACTTACCTGGGGGACTGAGGGGTTGAAGGCCATTCCGGTGACGGTGTCCGTGTGTCCTGCAAGTCTGCGGGAGAACGTGCTGGAGCCCATCTCGTACACATATGCCTGGAAGGCAGGAGGGGCAGGAGTCCTCGTGGAAAGCACCAGGAGCAGCCACAGGTTTCTGCTGCTCATCAGACACCAAGGCAGCAACGACACACCGGCCTGACACGTGTGTCCCAGAACCCAATCCCCAAGACAGGGGTTTCTTCTCTGCCGCTGAGATCTCACCCAGGGGGCCACTTCTGTCACTGGGTTCCTGTCACAAGCTGCCAAGGCCTTGCAGCCTCAGGGAGTCTGAGGGAGGAGTATGAACTTGGCCTCGCCTGAGAACCAGACCACAAGGAAGAGTGACGCTGTCCTGTTCTTCCCCATACACCTGACAGAACCTGCTGTGCTGTTTCCAGCCAAAGGAGCTAGGAATCTGGGGGCTTGTGTATTTAGAATGTGCCCTGCCGCTAATGATAACATTAAGAGCAAAGTGCACATGCCTTGTTCTTCAATGGTGTTACCAGACCCGATGTGCTAGAACAGATGAGAGTCTCATAGCTGTTCAGTAATAAACGTGCTGACAAGCCTTTCCCGACCCCCACCTGAAAGACAATTCACTCGTTCCCAGTGATCCCGGGGGCAGCAGTGCTCTGGAAGGAAAAGAGCACAGCCATTCTGCTCCGGACACCTACCCTGCAGATAAGCGTCTTGTATGCTGAACTAGTGAGGAAATTAGTTCTAGTCATGCTTGCTTCTGACTGCCACGTGTTAGTTTGCCGAGAGAAGCCCCGACTGCAGTGTGTGAGTCTGTGAAACACCCACAGTTGCTGTCTGAGTCGTCTCAGCAGCTTGGAGTGACGACTGTCCCGGGTCATGTGTGAGGGGTCAGTGGCATGGGCTACAAGTACATCCTGGGTGGATCTGGGCTTTCTGGGACCAAGCTACCAGGGTGCTTGCAGAAAGCTGGGGATCCTGGAGCCCTTGCCCAGCAGCTCTGGGGACTTCCTCATGGGGGCCGACTTAACAGATCATCTCTCAGGGCTTAAAGCCCTCTCGTCTGAGTCTGACGTGAGACTGCCGAGGGGTCCTGACTGCATGTCACTCACAGAGGCAACCAGAGCAGCACAGCTGACGGCATGGCCATGTCCCGCTCAGCCTCTGCCCCAGGAAGATGGTCCGGCTCTCCACACCAGGAAACCAGGGCTGGGGTCCTGCCAGGCCACATGGCCATGGGACTGAGAGACTCCCCGTGTGCTTCACACTGTCCTTATGAGCGGCTCTGGCAACCTGTGACCCCAAAGCAAGTGCAGAGTCCACGCAAGGCCTGGGCAGGGCCTCAGCAGCCCCACTCAGTGAGGCCCAGGCATGGCTGTGCTCACACACACTCACCCATCAGAACGGCTCCATTGGGGGGACCGGCCTCAAAGCACAACACGTACCAACCCCTCTGCATTCCCAGCCTCTGAGCCCAGAACTCATCTCCACTGGCTGCTGCTGTCTCCACAAGTCACCCCCAAACCGCGACCAGAACAACCACTGAGGAGAGCTCGGGTATCCGGCAGGCAGCAGGGGAATCTGGGAGACCTCACTTCCAACCTCCAGGGCAGGGCTTGAGACCTCACTCCCAGAGCAGGGCTTCGGGTGGTGAGACCTCACTTTCACAGCAAGGCTGGGGGATCGGAAGGGGTGAGATCTCACTTTCAGGGCAGGGCAGGACTTGGGGGCGGGGTTAGACCTCATTCTAGAGTATCTGCCTTGCATTCATCCAACCCAGGTTCACTTCCCGGCACCCTATGTTGTCCCCCTCTAGGAGTAATCCAAGTGCAGAGCCTGGAATAAGCTCTGAGGAGAGTCAGGTGTGGGTCCCCCCGCCCAAAAGAACCAACTCTGCAAAAGTAAGTGGGGAGCAGGAGGTGGGGCCTGAATCTCATCCTGAGATGCATACTCTGGCTCCTCCCTCTGGAGCACTCCCACTCTCTCTTGAATGCAGTCCTCTCTCCTTCCATCCTCTGAATAAAGTTTTTTTATTTCATTGTTCATCTCCCCCTGAAATTCTTTCCCGTGAGGGAAGGTGACAGACATGGGAAGCCTGGGTAATATTTAGGACTCACTTTCCTTCCCTGCAAAGAGCAGCTCCCAGCTCCAGCCCGAGTCCACAGCTCCCTGAGAAATTAGGATGCAGGAATCAACTGAAGCCGGGCAGAACATGTGGAATCCAGGTGTGGTTGGATGGCCAACCACGGGGCTGTAAGCTCCTCATTAACATCCAGTCTGATGGGTCAGTCCCACAAACCCTCATGGGCACAGGTAATGTGCAACCACTCATACAGCAGAAAGAGTAGAGGGGTGGGCCACAGGCCACTTGCACAGGTGGCATGTCAGTTATGGAAGCCAGAAATTCCAGCTATAATACATATGCACTCTGGTTGATCATGTGCACCCTGATTGGCACAAAGTCAGTGGCACAAGGAGCAGAAAAGCTAAGGGGAAGAGATAGTAAACCTTTATAAACTAGGCGAGAAAGCCGAGAAGAAGGTAGGAGAAAGAGATGTGAAAAGGAAGACGGGGGAGACGCAGCGAGTGGGGCTGCAGACTCTGGTGCAGCCTGCTGATTCTGGGCGCTGAGGGAGACACACCCATGTGAGCGTAAAGCAAAGAGGAGTAACACCAACGTCATCGGGAGCTCAGTGTGCCAACCTTACACTGTTGTGAGAAACTCAAGTCACATGGACAGCAACACAAGCATTCTTACTGCTTAGAAAAGGAACACTCCAAGGGGGCAGAGAAATAGTAATGTGGGCAGAGCCCACACAGCTGGCCTGGGTTTGATCCCAGTCCCCAGCCCTTCCAGGAGAATCCCCGAGAAGAGAGCCAGGAGTAAGTCCTAAACACAACGGGGTGTGGCCCAAAAACAAACAAAAAAAAAGGGAAGGAAGGTAGGAAGGAAGGAAGGAAGGAGGGAGGGGGGAGGGAAGCAAGGAAGGAAGGAGGGAGGGAGAGAAGGAAGGAAGGAGGGAGGGAGGGAGGGAGGGAAGGAAGGAAGAAAGAAAGGAAGAAAGGAAGGAGGGAGGGAAGGAAGGAGAGAGGAAAGAAGGGAGAAAAAATAAATAGTAAGAAACAAAACAGTCCCAGTACCTTATTTATTAAAATGATTGTCTTGTAAGTCAAATTAAATTGAATATGTGATACTGTCTCATATAGAAGGTGATTTGTGCAATGACAGGTGAATTTGTAAGGAAATGAGTAATCAGTATTTCCCACATCTCATTAAAATCGAGGGTGTTCTACCTCACAGGTGTTTGCTATAGAGTGTGATCCCCGTGGGGAGTGTGGGAGATCCCACAAGGACTCCTGTGCTCTGTGCACACACACCCATGCCACGCAGCACTTACGTGTCTGTCCTCGGCACCACAAGCTATGTATCGTCCACAGGGGCTCCACGCAAGTCTACAGGGGTGGCAGCGGCCGGGGTGGCCTTCAAATCGGCGCTCACATCTTGAAAGAAACAGACACACCAAGGCAGTCTTTTAACGCCAGAGCTCAGATTCCCTTGTGCTGCTCTCTAACTCCCCGACTCAGCCAAGCTGCTATGATTAATGGATATTCCAGTCTCCTCGCTGAAAACTCCGCGTAAAGCCCTGGCAGCCACACCCACAACTGACAGCTGCTGCTACAACCCCCAATTCCACTTTGCCATGAGACACCAGACTGCAAATGTTCTGGGTACACACCAGTTCTCGGGCTGAGAATTCTGCGGTCTTTTTGGAGTGTGACTGGACACTGATCATCAGGTTGTAACAAGCAAAATGCAACAAATTATTGTGCCTACTAAGGGGAAAGGTTTTTTTTTGGGGGGGGGGGTGGAAAATGGGTGGAGGAAAGGTCACTCCGATGGTAGGATAACTGCTGGAGCAAAGAAAGTCAATAGCGACTGTATTGTAGCACTGTCACACTGTCCTCCCATTGTTCATTGATTTGCTTGAGCGGGCACCAGTGTTTCACAACAAATTATAAGACTTGTTGTTACTGTTTTTGACTTATTGGATACGTCAGGGGACCTTGCCAGGCTTTGCCGTGCCAGCGAGATACGTGCCAGCGAGATACTCTTGGTAGCTTGCCGGGCTCTCCGAGAGGGGCAGAGGAATCAAACCCGGGTCGGCCTCATGCAAGGCAAATGCCCAACCCGCTGTGCCATCGCTCCAGCCCCTGTATTATGAACAATTTTGTAAACAACAATGTTTAAATTTAAAAATTAAAAGCATGAATCAGCAGAAAGACACTGACAGGGCTTTTCTTCACAAAACACACTCATGGTAAAAGAACATTTCTAGTTCAGGGGAGTTTACCTGCTCATTTCTTGCCCAAGCATTTCAGTGCCTAAATGGTGTGAGGAAGACAAAAGAACTCTCTGATGCCTGGTGGCACAGCATTCTCTGCCACGTATCAACGGCCGTGTGCACATGGCCACGTGGCTGTATCCCTTGCCTGGTCCCCCACACTTCACCAGTCCCTCTTGGCCAGGTTCTGTGCCCAAGACCACACTGTCTGCTTTCCCTTGAAAAGAGCAGAACGCTGTCATGTCACTGCTGAGAAACAAATGCTCGTCCACAGTTACCTCATCACCTCTGCCTTTCCTTTTCCTTCAGCTTCTAGTATTGTGCGTTTATTGTGGTTCAGCCTCAGAAGACACAAGTGAATGTCATGTCTGATGCAGTTAAGGAATCAACCACTGAGGTTGGAACCAGGCTACAGTGAAAGAGCACATCACGAGCAAGTGTGAGGTCTAACTCTGAGCCCCAGAACCACCTGGTCCCCCCAGCACTGTCAGATGTGGTCGTGGTGGCCTTCCTGCACCCTGGCTAAGCATCTTGGAAGTAGTATCACCCAGTGTTATTCCTATTAAAAAAAAATCTACCATCCGATGTCCTCAAAGGTAGCTCTACAGGACTACCACCTCTTCTGAATTTTCCAGGCTTGGAAAGTTTTAGTTTGGATGGATGTGAGGAACACAGTGCCCGCCAGAGTATCTTCACTACATGATCACTTTCTACGGTAGTATGTAATCTGGTCTAATGCCCTGAATGCATGAGCCCAGCAAGTTCTTTCACCATGGCTTTCTTAAGGTCCACACACAGAGTTTCCAACACCCAGTAAGACAAGACCACCAGGTCTGCTCATCTGTGTGAAGAGAGTCATAGCAAGTAAATGCTTTGCTAACTGCAGCCAAACTGTCAGGAAGCTAGCCGGCACTCAGTGGCGGAATGGCTACATCTACCGGCTATGCAGCGAAACTTTGCTAGGGACCAAGAGCTTGCAGAAATCCAGACGCACGTATGTGAAATGGGAGATTATTAAGTGATTGTTACATCATTTATAAACAGGTTATTTTCATCACTTTTCAAAATCACAGTCACAAAGACTTAACATGAAACAATTTCTATATGAAAATAGTAAATGATAAACATGTTCTGGAAAATTAAAAAATTAAAAAGAGGGCCTTTGAATCCTAAGTCAAGTAGTAAGGTAGGAGAGAGAGGTCAGCAGGTGAGTGCAAGCGTCATATGTGGAGGCCCAGCACCACAGAGTTTCTCGAGCGCAGTCTCCAAAGCAAACAGAAAACTCAATTAATGATGGAAGACTTTGGGAAGGTGAGGCTGCTCTTAGAGCGGATGGCGTTTCTGGGCAGCTGTGTGAAGGTATGTGGTTGTATCTGCCGGGTCAGGGCGTCCTGCACAATGTTCTGGGCCAACCACATCTACCTGAACCTAGATCACTCTTGAGGCTCTCATCCATGTCTGATGATGTGAGAGGTGAGCAGAAACACTGCTGGTTTTCTCCTGTGTCATTATATGCAAAGATATTCTTGTTATGTCACAAATTTATTAATACTGGACACAATTATTAGGGGATATATGCACACTTATATATACTTATGTATATATGTGAATCTAAATATTTGGGGAGGTCCTCACAACCAGTGCTCAGGAAGGCCCAAAGGACAATCCCAGTGAACCTTGGCCAACCAGGTTGACACCACAATTCACAAACCAACAGTTAAGCACCACACTGGCACAGTGGTGCTAGGGCCCACCAGGACCACCCTTGGGTGTGGGGTGGGGGGATGGAGCCATGTGATGCCTCGGGCCTTGGGGCTGGACAGGCGTGCCCCCGGGCACTGAGCTGGCTTCCCTGCTTTCTCACACACAGATCTCCAAAGGACAGGATCCAGGCGGCAAACAACGTTCAAAGCAAATGCAGGAAAGCTGGTGAGAGCAGGACTCCTCCAGTGGAACAGGGGCGCTCACCAGCTGCCTCTACTTCCGAGTAGCACCTCCACCAAGGAGGCCTGCAATCAATAAGATCTGTTCTGCACAAGGAATCTTTGAACGATTTCACTTTCAAAAGAATAATACACATGTGGCAGGGGGGCGGGGGGGGCATGCAGTAGTGTTGGGGTTACACCCAGCTCTGTGCTGGAGATCACTCCTTGTGGTGCTCGAGGGGCATGCAGAGCTGGGATCTAACACAGGACCCTCCATGCAGACATGCACTCCTGCAGACTCAGGGGGACAGACACAGAATGTCTGCGTTCACGAGAGAGAGAGAGAGAAAGAGAGAGAGAGAGAGAGAGAGAGAGAGAGAGAGAGAGAGTGAGACTGACATCCACGGCCAGGGAAAACAGGGGCAGGAGGACTCAATGTTAGAAGCTTGCCACAGGAATGTCTGGGGGGACGAGGAATAGAGAAGGCACCAGTGTGACAGTAATAGTTGGAAATGATCATTTTGGGCAGGAACTGAGTGTTGAAAACAGGTAAAGGTATATACTTGATAGCCTTTCAGTATCTGTATTGAAACCATAAGGCCAGAGAGAGAGAGAGAGAGAGAGAGAGAGAGAGAGAGAGAGAAAGAGAGAGGGAGAGAGAGGGAGGGAGGGAGGGAGAGAGAGAGGGAGGGAGAAAGAGAGAGAGAGAGGTGGGGAGTTGGAGGGAAACCAGGGATATTGGTGGTGGGGAATGTTGGAACACTGTATGACTGAAACCCAATCATAAACAACTTTGTAACTGTTTATCTCACTGTGGTTTAAGAAAAATTAAAATCAAATAAAATTTTGAAAAATGCAGGAAAAAAGCATGCACTCCAGTTCTTTGAGCCATCTCTCAGGTCCAAGTATTATACATAGTTTATTCCCTCAGAAAAGTTATTTGCATTAACCAGCTGCAACAAATATATCTATTTCAATAGTAAGTATCTAGTATATGAACTAATGTAAGTATTTAACACATGAATGACATACGTGTATACACACACACATTTGGGGGGAGGAAGGTTGCCATACCTGGCAGTGCTCGGGAGCTATCCCTGGTTCTTTCAGGGGTGACTTGGACGGTGCTCACAGAACCATGTGTGGTGTGGGGATTCTAAACAAGGTAGTAGCTGTGTCAGCTGCTTATAAGGCAAGTGTCTCACAGAACCCAATATTTATATTTTAAATTGTACTTGGGAAAATAATTTAAGACAATTTAGCTCGATATTTTCACTCTCTTTCCACAAAATGTCTGTGTCTGTGATCTTCTTAGAGGAACCATAAGTCTCTGAGATAAATACTGTCACTGTTCTCCCATTGTTCATCGATTTGCTTGAGCGGGCCCAGTAACGTCTCCATTGTGACGACTGTTACTGTGTTTGGCATATCGAATATGCCACAGGGAGCTTGCCAGGCTTTGCCGTGTAGGCGAGATACTCTCGGTAGCTTGCCGGGCTCGCCGAGAGGGGCAGAGGAATCGAACTTGGGTTGGCCATGTTGGCCGCTTGCAAGGCAAACGCCCTACCCGCTGTGCTATTGCTCCAGCCCCTGAGATAAATACAAGTATGATATTCAAATACTAATTGCTCAACCTTCTCAACACTTGATAAAGCAGTGACTGCTTGGCACAGAAGCAGAAAATGAGAATGGAGAGTTAAGTTGCCCTGAACAGAAAACTGAGCTGGATATTCTCCAGGGAAAGTTCCATTCAAGAACCATCTGGAATCACGCCGGAGTCCTTTCTGCACTCTTCCCACAGCCTCTGGCCCCCAGGAAGGCTCACCTGAAGAATCTACCTAATGAAGAGAACACTGGTGCAAACCAGAGTTGGGTTTCAAACATGTAGCATAAATAGGTGCTGATCAGTAATGTTATGACCTGAAACCCACAGGATGCTAGAAGCAACCATTACTTCAGTAAATGTAAACTGGAAAAGGGGTTAGCGTAGAAAGGAAATCAGGACGGGGGCTCTGGAACACAGCTGTGGGTGGGTGCAGTGCAGCTAGGCAGCACTGGTCCTGCTCTCTGCTCGTGACTGAGCAGCCCCTGTGCCGTGTGCTGCAGAGGACACCGTGTGCTGCTCCTGCCGTGGGGAACCCTGTACGAGTGGAGAAGGAAGCTACGCAAGCAGCACTAGAGCTTTGCCTAAGTGTCATTTACAGAAGCTCCTCGAATACCAGTGACGGTGGTGGGGTCCCAAGGTCTCCCCCGTCTGCACCCATCTGCTCAGGGACCTGGGTTCCTCCCACGCCCCGAAGGGGCTCACTGGGGTGAGGGAGGGGCTCGGGCGAGGGAGGAGGCTGTGGGTGACAGCTGCCCTGGAAGGGCTGGGCGGGGCTGGCAGGAGGGCTGACCCCAGACCCAGGCCTGGGTCCTGCAGGCTGGAAAGGAGGAAGGAAGGAGGCCGCGAGGCCAGCGACTGCTCCTGCGGAAAGGTGGGAAGGCGCTGGGGTCTCCCCTCTGGCTGACACCTGCGCAGGGGCTTAGCGCTCCGGGAGCCAAATAAATGTAGGGTCAGCCTGATCTCGTTATTCACCACCTTAAGTCACAGTTTCCAAGAACCTTTAGGTGATAGTAATAATCTACTGATTTTTCTTGTGCATTTTAAAATTTTGTATGTCCTTTTCTTTTTATTTGTACAAAGGGACAAGCAAGGAGGAAACCAGTCCTGCCTCACCCCCTGCTGCCTGCCATGCTCCCGCCTTCTCTCTGCAGGCCTTTGAGTCAGCCCACCCTGTGGCTTCTCCCCTTCCTGTCTACCCACAACATGCACTGTGCTCCTCCTCCCAGTGCTCTCCCAGACTGAGCACAGGCAGGACCCCATGGCCGGCTTCCCGCCTCCTTCCCTGCTTCTCCTCAGAAAGTGGGCGAGAGTGAGGTACACAGCAAGTCGGCGTGTTAACTTTCCTCACCAGCCCGGTGCCAGGCTCCAGTGCCGAGCTGGCTTTCAGGAGGACGAGTTCCTGGCGGGAGGCCCTCAACTCTGTCTCCCACAGATGCTGCTGCCCTCGGAGCCACTGACTGGATGGGGGTGTAGGTGGGGATGGAGCACCTCAGGTCCAATTGGAGCGCACTCTCTACTTGTTCAACAAGAAAAAAGACAGATGTCTAGTGAGGCACAGAATCGTTTTTCTGAAAGGTACGGGGTGTAGCAGGCCAAGTAAGTTTGGGAATCCACTCCATAGGAAAGGCCAGAGGCTGCAGAAAGGGGGCGTGTGAGGCTCAGGAGAGAGCCATCTCCTGAAGCGTGCCTGCTGCAGCCACACTGCCGCTGAGGCTCTGGAGAGAGCCCCTCCATGCCGGCCCTCTGTGCGCACTGAGGAAAGGGAGCTGAGGGAGACTCAGTGAGGCGGAGCCAGGGAGCAGACTCACTGCCCCTGTGCCTGCCCACTGTGCTTGGGGTGGGGGAGGGCAGCCCGGAGCTCTCCAGGCGCTGGACTGTTTCCTCCACTGTGAGCAAGAAGGTGCGGCCACACCTGGAACTCATTTCCACAGAAAGCACAGAGGCTGAGTCCATGGCCAGACAGCTGCAGCAGACGAGGAAATGGCGTCTCCCTCCTCCCCACAGAAGTAGTGACTGGCTGCACCTCGCCGGAGGCGGGGGGGGGGGGGGGGGGGGGGGGGGGGGGGGCGGGGGGGATGTTTTAATAACTGGGCTGTGGGAAAACTGCTTCGTGTGTGACCCCTGAGTTTCATTTAACACCTCTAAAAACCTCCTGAGAGGGCACCCAACCGGGTTCAGAGCAGAGTCTAAGGCGCAACACCCATCCCCGCCCCAGGCGGCAGCAGGAACCCCACTCCTGCCAGGCTAGTGTTTTCTGAAGAGACTAAAGTGCTTTCGAGCTTTTCTCAAGTGTGTCTTTGCAGTTCACTGGAGACACTGAGGTGGAATGAGTGAGTTGGCATGGGCGCCCCGCTGGGTGGAGGGGAGTGCAGGGAGGAACTGACCCTGGGGACGTGATCTCAGCGAGCACCTGGTGGACCACCCACTCCCCCACATGACCAGGACCATTGAGACCTGTGAGGCACTTGCGTGCCTCACACACACACACACACACACACACACACACACACACACCAGGCTTCCAGAGAGACGTCTCCTGCAGATGCAGAGGCAAGGGCCACCAGTGCTAAGGGTGACTCTGCTGCACTCCCCCCCCCCCCGCCCCCCGCCACACTGCACATGTGACACAACAGAGGACCTACCTCAGAGTTCTCAAGTCCCACAACTTTATGCCGTCACCAACGGCTATGGATGCAAAGAGGTTATAATCCTGGGAAGACTGGCTCGCCAGCGAGGACCCCTGTGGTGGTGAGGGGAAATAAAGGTGGGATGTCAAAGGCTTCATGAAAACACACCTTTTGTTTTTGTTTTTGTTTTTCTTTTTGGATCACACCCGGCAATGCTCAGGGGTTACTCCTGGCTCTGCACTCAGGAATTATTCCTGGTAGTGCTTGGGATACCAGGGATGCCAGGAATCGAACCCAGGTCGGCTGTGTGCAACACAAACGCCCTACCCACTGTACTATCACTCTGGCTCCACACACCTTTGTATAATGATATAAAAACTGGCTCTGAAGGGATACATCAGTGAAAGCTTTTTTATTATTTGAAAACCATTTCAGAACTGAACTCCAAAGATGTGCACATGGGCCATTAGTGATGTACATTAGTTCAACCCTGAAAAGTACTGCTGCAGGTTTTCTGTGTCTGATGGCTCACAGTCACAGAAGACACATGAAAAATACCTGGGACACGGCTGGAACTCCCTCTCCCCTCAGCCGCAGACTAAGCACATGCCTCTGTCCACAGTCAAAAGGAAGATCCCTCCTTACTTAGACCTAGAGCTAGAGGGCAGCTGCCGTCTGCTGACCATCAGATCCTGAGAAAGAAGCCTGGCCAGGCCCCCGTAGCTGAACAAAGAGACTGATGGGAGAACCAGGGTCCTCGGGCACCTGTGCAGCTCTCAGCAGAAAGAGACTGTGACATGGCTCGTGGGGCCAGAGAGGACAGGCTTCAAGCAACTGTTTTGCATGCAGCTTATCGGGGTAGATTCCTAGCACTACACGGTTTCCAAACACCACCAGATGTGCCAGTGCAGGCCCCCAAGCACTACCATGGTAGCTGCCTGTTGGAGTACAAGAAGCTTAGGTTTATCTGGTTAATCACTTAATCACTTAACTTCCCGTTAGTCATCGATTTGCTTGAGCGGGCGCCAGTAACGTCTCTATTTGTCCCTGTCGCGTGCTAGTGTAGCCCAATGGCATCTGTTCGCTCTGGGAACATGAAGAGCCTCAAACCGATCGTTCATGATCTTCACGAAGAAGTCTGACCATCTGGTAGGTGGGCGGCCACGTGGTCTTTTGACATCCCGTGGAATCCAGTCGGTAGCAGCTCTAGTCCAGCGGTCGTCTTTAAATCTCATTACGTGACCAGCCCATCTGATTTTTGACACCTTGGCAAATGAGACAGCGTCCCTGATTCTTGATCATCGACGGATGTTGGAACTCCTGATTCTTTCTCTCATTTGAGTGAAACGTGATATTCCAAGCATAGCTCTTTCTACTCTTCTTTGGGAGACCTGAATAGCGTTCTCATCCTGTTTGCATAGGGCCCAGGTCTCTGAGGCATATGTTAATGCAGGAAGAACAGTGGAATCAAAGAGATGTGCCCGGAGCCGGAGGTTCTTCGTCCTCTTAGCTATTTCTTCGACGTTCTTGAAGGCGTTCCAAGCCGCTCTCTTCCTCCTGCGCAGCTCGGGTACCAGGTCATTTGTCATGTTGACTTCTCGACCTAGGTACACATAGCTGTTGCATTCGGAGATGGTCGTTCCGTTGAGAGCGAATGGGGCATCAGGAACGAGGCTGTTTCTCATAAACATTGTCTTCGTAAGATTCAGCTGTAGTCCTACCTTTCCACACTCACGGTCAAAGTCGGCCAGCATTTGTGCCGCTTGGCTGATGTTTGGTGTTATTAAAACAATGTCATCAGCAAAGCGGAGGTGGTGTAGTTGCCGACCATCTATCTTCACTCCCATTCCTTCCCATTCCAGTCGTCGCATGATGTTCTCGAGGGTGGCACTGAAGAGTTTCGGTGAAATGGTATATCACCCTGCCGAACCCCTCTCCTGACATCAACGATCACTTCTTTGTAGAATGGTGAGATCCTGGTAGTGAATCCGCAATACAGCTCACGGAGGATCTTGATGTATTGGGCTTGAATACCCTGATTGGCTAGGGCTTCAATGACCGCTTCCGTCTCAACAGAATCAAAGGCCTTCTTTAAATCAATGAACGTTAAACAGAGCGGCATCTTGAACTCCCAAGAAACCTCAATGAGCTTGGTTATCGTGTGGATATGGTCGATGGTGCTGAATCCTTTGCGGAACCCAGCTTGCTCACATGGTTGTTCTTCATCTAGTGTTCTGCCAATCCTATTTAGGATGACTTGAGTGAACAACTTGTAGATGACAGACAATAGGCAGATCGGGCGATAGTTGCCAATGTCATGGATATCTCCCTTCTTGAACAGTAGTACGGTCCTGCTGGTTTTCCATTGGGACGGAACCTTGCATTCAGACAGGTAGCGTGTGAAGAGCCGAGCCATTGTATTGGTGAGTACTGATGGCAGGTTCTTCAGGTGTTCAGGTCTGACCTTGTCTGGGCCGGGTGCTGTTTGTTTCTTTACCGACAAAATGGCGTGTCAGATTTCGGAAGGGAGAACGTTGGGAACGACATATCCATCCTTTGGAATTTGGTATGTCGGCAAGTGGACATGGCTATCGAAGAGATTTGAGTAGAAGTCATGGATAATCTTCGCCATTGCCGTTCTCCATTGCCGTTTATCTGGTTACACCCATTAATCTGGTTACACCCATCAATCTGGTTACACCCATCACAGTGCTCCAGAAGCACTTCCACTTCCATTGTGTTTATCTGTAAACAGTCTTCCCTATGCTCTCCTTCCCACCCAGTTAATCAGCTTTCCCCTTAATCAGACTTTGTTAATTTGTAAGATCAGTTTCCCAGAAATCTATGATTTTATAGGTATGAGTGAAATATTGCCTTTCTCCTCTCCTTATGCCTTATGAACAGCTTACTTTAAAGTAATATCCTTTTTGTATAGATACAGGAAGACCGTTAACATTATGCTTTGTAACTTAGGATTTGATTGGCCTTGAATATTATTCACTCCCGGGCATCTGCTTTCTCAACTTAAGCCTCAGTTACCCTTAGTTCCTAACACCCCAAAAGCAGGGTCCTGACGAGGGACTGAATGGAGCCAGGGCAAGCAGTGAGCTACCCTGGCAGCGAAATGGGCCAGGCCAAAGTGCCACGATTCTTAACTATAAGTTAAGAGTTTGATCATAGACAAATGCTGTCATGATCCAAAGGTAACGACAAGACTAGGATCCTGCTAAGGGTGGGAAAGACTATCTGACATGAGCACCGTAGTCTGAGATCGAGATGGCCCTAGGAGAGCAATTCTATAAGTTTAAGATATTTCTTACTGTATCCATACAAAATGATTTATATTATAGTCTTATATGCTTGTCAGACAAGAAGAGGAGAGGCACGCCCATGGGATATGCTGTAGGGTGGGTCCTCCTGCTGAGGAAGGATCTGTCCTAGGAGCGGTCTTCCCTGAGGCTAAGATTTCTACCCCTATTGATTGTAACCGCACCTATGTGTAATTGTTCCCCCAATTTCTGATGGAGAGAGGATTTAACTAGACTGTAGGAGTTGCCTGGATGTTCAGAGAGAATCAGAAGAGAGAAGAGGATGAAGTGGGATGGAGAAGGAGAATGAAGTAGCTGGGGGAGGAAGAATGGGGGGCAGAGACAGAAGAAGCAGAGAGAGCAGAGACAGAAGGAGAAGGGAGCAGAGACAGATGAAGAGAGAATCAGAATAAACTACGACTAATACCTACCAGCCTGGCCCTCGTTCCTTCCTCCACCTGATCATCGCCATCGACCTCTCCAGGGTGGGAGAAGGGTGAGACTACCGAATGCGGGCGGTGGGAGAGATAGAGCCACCACCGCTGTGTGTGCCGCACCCCCTATTTGTGTGAGTTTACACAGGAAAGTTTAGTCCAACGACATTCAGAAAAATTATTGATATATATGAATTTGTCATAATTTTACTATGGTGATTCTTGTGGTTTTTGCCATTAGATTTTTTTGTGGTATATCATTCATTATTTCTTACAGAGATGTATTAGATACAGCAAATGCTTTAAGTTATTGTTTATCTAAGAATGATTATATCCCTCCTTCAGATCTGAAGGGCAGCCTTTCAGATCTGGAGACCCTAGGTTAAAGATTTTCTTTTGCTCACAAAATCTTGAATACTTCATTCCTCTCCCAGCTTACTTGGATGGTTTTGTAGGAGAGATATTTTGTGATTTTTACGTTGCAACCCTTGTATTTTAGTTTATTTGTATATCTTGCACTTTGGATTTAAATTGTTTCTCTCTTTGGTTCTTGCCATCATGATTGCAACGTGGACTGGTGTTCTATTTGAGCTTATTTTATCACTTCCTGCCTCTCTTGAGTCTGTGTACAGGTTTCCCTGCAATGACTGGAGAAGGTTTCATCTACTAGTTCTTTCAGCAGTCTTTATTCCCCTTGGTAACTTCCTCTCCTGGTATTCCTATTCATTCATTCATTCATCATCCTGTTATTCATCGATTGCCTCGAGCAGGCCACAGTAACGTCTCTTTCATCCTAGCCCTGAGATTATATTCAAGGCTCTTTAGGAGAATGAGACCCATCTTATTATCTCATTCCTACTTTGGTATTCCTATAACTCAGAAATAATTCCTCCTGCAATCCCCGATCCCCATCACGAATGGGGTTCAATGGGTTACCCGCGCCTGCTGTGGTTGGGGGTAACTCCTCGTTCATGGGGAATAATTGCAATCCCCGATCCCCATCACGAATGGGGTTCAACAGGCAGTCTTCTGCCCCCGCGCCTGTCTGTTCCTCGCCGGGGCCCCTTGGAGGGGAGCGGGTTGAGCTTTCCTCCCCGCCCCGACCAGGGCTCCGGCAGCCGAAGACCTCCAGGACCAGCCACCACCATGCTGAGATCACTCTCCGCACACATGAAGGTACTGGCAGAGGGACAAAGCCACGTGGGTTCCAGGGCCGAGATCTCCAAGCCTACTCGGATTGGAGTCGAGCATCCTCCACCCAGATCCTCCAAATTCCAGTAGGCGGGGGTCACACCCACCACCTGGCCCCCTGGCGCCGTGTAATCCCATCAGCGGCCAAGACTCAGAGACTATAAAATCCAGCTCCCGGAA